GTTTTTTCTTCCAGAGAATCAGGGGACAGGCACACAGCTGAAGTCCAGTTAAGGGTCCAAAATCCTTCTTCTGTCAAATCTGGTCTGAGCAAAATCAGTATGCTCCACAGGAAGAATAGAAACATAGAATCATTTAGACTGGAAATTATCTTTAAGGCTATTGAGTCCAGCTGTTAACTCAGCACTGCCCACTGTGCCACTAAACCATGTCCCTAAGCACCACATCTACACCTCTTTAAAATACATCCAGGGATGGTGATTCAGCTGCTTACCTGGTCATCAGTCCATTTTAATCAAATTACAACACAGCATAAAACAAATAAAATAATAAAAGAAGAAAGATAAGAACTCTACTCAAACAAATATGTGTTGTTTCTTTAAAAGGAAGATAGAAATAAGATTTAAAATAAAATTCAGAAATCATAACTTTTGCAGCCATTAACTGGTCATGTGACAATCTAGGTATTAGCTAAAAAATTAGTAGTAAGGGGTATTTTAAGATATGAACTTCTAACAAGGAACAAGGATAGCAGTGTTTTATCTAAAGCAAGGAAATTTATTTTTATATTAACAAAGTTTCTAGAATACCCACTGTGAAGGTGGCAGCTTGGTTTCTTCTGTAGCCTTTAGAAGGTCAAACACCAACTTCTCAGTTCCATGAATTGCATTCTCAGCAGCAGGATGTACATCAGTTTGGAGCATAGGTACTTCTTGCTTTGTTAAGAAGCTGTAAAAGTTTTATCCAAACACTCTTTAACATAAAATTCATGTGAGTGCTTGGCCTAGGGGCTATAAATAAGCTCCCTCTTTTCGGGTAAATCCCTGATCACAAAGCTGCATCACACCCTTTGATGTAAATGGAGTCCCTCTCCTAACCAGCCCTCCCCAGGCAATCTGTGAGGGCTTCATGAAAATGCTGGGAGTGACAAAGAGAGGAGGAGAGCTCTTCAAACATCATTGATTAGAAGGAGGCCAAGAAAATCTTCCACTTCCACAGCTATTTCATCACAGAAGGAAAAAATAAGGCTACTTTGAAAAAAAAAAAAAAAAACACAAAAACCAACACACAACCAAAAAAACCCCACCTTTTTTCTGCAGAAGATGATTTTAGGATCTGACAGGGAAATAAGAGAAGGCCTTTCTGCTGCCTGTAATCAGATACAGTAAGTCCAAGAAAGGATAAATATTTGAGATTTTTCTTTGTGCTTTACATTCTGATTGCTAACTAGATGGACCTTCTTTATGTTACTTTGCAGGAACTAACTCTCCTAAGTGCCTTTATGGGGAATTTAGGATCCTTCCTAGGGTTCTGGAATTAGCTCTCAGTTCAGCTTCATAATATGCAGTAAGTGTTAGGTATCAAGTGCTTTATTAAAATCGACCCTAGGTGATTAATGTAAGATGTCAGAATGAATCAGTAGATGGACAATTGAAAGGTGTCAAATTTTCTGAACCTGGTGCTCCTTACAGCAACAGTGAATGACACTTATGAAGGAGACTCATCATTCTCTGTAATAGTCATAACCAGATCAGCAGCCAGACCTTGTCAGCCACTTGTTCTTGCAAAAGGAAATTCTTATGGTAATATGCAGTATTACTCCTCTGTGGATAGAAACTACATGTACAAGGATTCATGCTAACATCTAGAACAGAAGGAAGGCCTTTTTAGACATTATAAATATCAGCACTCATCACTGTATGTAAGTAGATAATTAGGGTAATTATTCTAAATTAGCAGCTGCAAGCCCTGCAGATGGGAATTTCAGGGACTGGTAACTATTGTAAGGTAGAATTTCTGCAGGTTGCAAAGCCCTTTCCATATTTTGGAAGATGTATATTTAATCACCCTCATACATGATGTTAAATGTTTTTGTTAATATCTCAAAATGAAAATCTTTCCTGCACTTACATAATGCTTTTGCTTTTCTTTAAAGCTGTGTTGGGGTTTGCGATAGCCTGGATTTTGAAACATGTTTCCAAGTACCTAACCTATCAGATCAAATAAATTGATAACTAGGCTGAACTGGGACTCAAATTTTGCTTCTATTCTCAGTCCATGAGGAAAAACAATGTCAAGAGTCCTTTCATTTGTTTTTTTTCTTTTTTATTTTGAAGATGGAAAAAAGACTATATATAGGACTAAAAAAGACTATGAAAAAAAGACTTTTATTTTGAAGATGGAAAAAGCTCTGGATGAAACCTTCTGTGAAAACACATGGTCAAACTTTCTCACCAGGTTCCAGAAGCATTTTCACTGCATTCATTGTATTGTGCTCCTTTGAATGGCTTAAGGGCAAAAAAAAAAGAAAAAAAAAAAAACCAACAAAACCCAGATATTTTAATTGTGAAAAATGTTGTAACAACCATAAATGCTTCTGTGATAGCTGATGAGTTGGTCTGATTAGAAAAGGATTCTTGTTGCCTTGTGTACCATGAGTACATCACGCTAGAAATGGAGCAGGACTTTGTTTTTTAGCTTTGGTCTTTAGCTGTGATGTGAATTCATATAACTTATGAATACAGACAGCAAAAGAAATGCAATCAACATAAACAGTAATGCACATAACTGTAAGGTTTGTCCTTATCACAGTGAAGAAGTTTAATTTTTTAGCTACTTTAATGTACAAAATCAGTCATTCCTATCTTTTAAAATAAGATTGCAACTTCAATCAACAAATAAGCCTATGTTGTACTCATTTAAATCCAGTCCTTATCTAGTTATTTGAACATGGAATTTCAGACAAAATAAAGCTGAGAAAGTAATAATTTTCTGCATTTGAGTAAGTAAAAAGTTATTGATCAATGTCTTTTTAAACTTTCTATTTAATTATCTTTGAAGTGAAAAGAAGGAAAGAAGTTTGAAGCCTAAATAATCATTCTGTGAAAAAGTTATGAGGGGATTTTTTTTTTAAATAATATTAAGACATGATAATTCAGCTTTAGTAGTAAAAATTTAACAGTACACCTTGTAGCGGGCCTATGTAGATGGCAAAACTGCTTTTTTGGCATTTGGATTTTGGCTTTAGCCATGCTGATATACATTTAATAAAGACTATTTAAAAATAAGAGTATGTTTGTATGATATCAAGTAATAAAATAGCTCTCTAATTCAGATTTTTACAGCTGTTAGAGTTGTCAGCTGTAGATTAAAAAATTAAATGCTGAATTTAATGTATATATATTTAGTATTTTAAGCAGCTGGCTATGACTACTATGACGACATGTAAATTATCTTTTAGGTCTCATAGAATCATAAAAAGCTTTCCTGCAACATTAATCTTATACATATTAGGTCTGAGAAAAGAAATGAGAATGATGTATCACACTTACAGGCTTCAAGTTTGGGAAGATTTTCGATGCTTCCTTTCACCATCCAAAGCTCAATAACATGAAAAGTTTGTTTCTTTGTGTGATACAACCATATTTCACTTAGATTCATGCTGAGTCCTATTATTTTGTATAAGAACGTGACTTTTTTTTTCTCTGATAGTTATCTCTAACATTTTCTGATATGTGCAATCTATTTCATATCTTCTTATCTGACTTCATCTTCAGTCTTTTTTTTTCTTTTTTCTGTCTTAAGCTTGGGCTTTTAAATTTAATACCTCTATTTTTACTTGTTCACCCCCTTTTAAAACTTTATTTCTCCTTTAATCCCTTTTTAGGACTCAGAGCCCCAGCTCTGTTCACCTGCTGTGCAGGGCTAATTCATCTGTCTTGAAAGGGCCATAGATGGCAAGCAGATCATGTTAATTTTTTAAACCCAGTCTCCAAGACTGCTGAAACCAATGGGAGCATTTGCTTCAGCTCCACAGTGAGCTCTGTCCATAGAAGCTTTCAAATACGTTTGACTTGAAAATTTGTGTTTGACATCCTGCTTTGCAGAAACTATTAAATATATGTCTAATTGAGATTTCAGACTTATAGTATATTAGTAAATAAACTCATTAAACTGCTTAATGTAGATGGAATAATAATGTTGATAAAGGATTTGATGCTGCCAAGGGCATCTGCCTTGGTCACTGATGAACTCTGTCACATCCTACTTTTTAACTGTGAGTCCTTATCATGCATTTCAGAGAGCCTGTATCCTTAAAACAAATTAAATGGCTAAGTGTGTTTCTGGATTAGAGCCAGAGGACTCAGCACCTTGGAAGATTAAATATTAAAAATAAAAAAAATTTAAAAAGCAATACTGGCAGAGACAGGCTGTGTTTAATCATAAGCATTGAAAAAAGGCTGATTTCACTTTGGATTGAAGAATCCACTCTTGCTCAATTCTTTGGTAATTTGTGGTGAGGAGAGATTTCCATCCACCAGCTGTGGATTATCTGACTACCAATTTTACTGTTTGGAAATCCATTTGAACTACATGAAGGCAGCTGCAATCCTGCAACCTCATGTATTATTTAACTGGTTGAATTTCTGTTATATTACAGTCTCTATCAACCATTTTGCAGTTTCTAAATAGAAAAAAGACAAATTACTACTTTTTCTTCTTTTTTTTTCCACAGAAGTTTGCCCTAATCCTATCCATTTATGCCAAGATCATGGCTCAGTTTATCTGAAATACACCATTCACCTCCCTGAAAGCCCATTATAAGGACTGCTGGTAATAAACCCCAAAGTGCTCAACTTTCAATGAGTTATAGCTCTGAAATTCCTGATTAACTTGTTGTTATCAGATTAAAATCTGTGTGCAAACTTTAAGCTGCTTCCTGCAGTTTAGAGCATGTCTACAAATAGATATTGTAGCTCAGCTCACAATCCATGACTTCATTGTTCCTTGGGTTCTAACGGTTACAAACTGAAAATTCTGAAGTTGAAGTTAAATGGCAAAATCATTTAGGGTTCTTAGAAATCTCTTTATAAGCCATCTGTTTCTGAAGAATAAAAAATTCATTACTTGTCTTTGTAAAATGAATAAAGGAAGGAAGTATTTAAACATATGGAAAGAATAAACCACATTCTGTGTGTGTGTGTTTTATGGTCTCCGTTAGGTACCTCAGGATGAATGGGGAGGATACCCAGCTGGTGGGAAAGATGAAGAGATCCCATGCAGAAGAATGAGGAGTGGGAGCTATATTAAGGCCATGGGAGATGAAGAAAGTGGAGATTCTGATACAAGCCCCAAGACATCACCAAAATTATCTGTTCGGCCAGAGTCATTATTAAAATCCATTGGGCAAAGACCACTGGCAGATCATCAAAAGTAAGCTTTACTACACCTTTCTGGAAGTTGTCATGACTTGGATAACTTTTCTTTGTGTCTTATGGGCAATGGTCAGCTTCCATAGGAAAAAAAAATCTATCTCGTAAAAGGTGATTTTTTTTTGGCTTCATTTTAACTTAGTTACAGCTTTTTGTGGTTACTGGATGAAAAGCTGATATCTTCTTCCATCCATGAAATAAACCTTTTACTTCTGAATGAGTAAGGAAGGTACTGAAGGAAATGTATAGTTATTTTATGCCAAAAGTTCAAAGTTATGGCGTGTTTTTCTCTAGAAGGATTGGTTTCTATTACAATTTTTGTTATTTCATTGCTTTCTCTGAAATAGAAAATATACTCTATTCTATACTACATATAATATTAAATATACAATTGTGCCATATATTGGGCATTTTACACCTTTTTTATCAGTGTAATGCTTTATGTATCAGCTATACTGCATCATACTCATTTAAACACATTGCGGAAGATTTTGTTTGACTGGATTATTTTTCATTCATACTACCATTCATACTACCTACAATATGGCCTATTAAATAACTAAAGCAAACCTTAAAGCTACAAGGAAGTATGTTGGAAGTTTTCCAATAGATCTTTATTTTCCTCTCCTTTTTATCTTTTCAATATATAATTTTATACGTAAACTGTAAAAATTCTTGTCAGGAGGGTTTCAAAGTGGTAGCCTGATTTAAAATCTACAGATTCTATTAATTTGGCTGGATGTTTCTCATGGCTTAGCAAATTTATCTTTTTGCCTGGGGTATAAACTGAAGAAATTAGTAGTGAAATCTTGGACCAAGTGTTATTTATTGTTCTGTAGGTAATACCATATAGTTTACCATAGTGACTCACCTTTTCATAAAACAAAACAAAATCCATAGGCAAAAATCCTTTTGGGTTAATTAAATTGAATTATTTGTCTTGCAATCTGCAAGAAAGCCACCAACTTCACTATTACTGAAGAGAAGAGTTTCCAACTTCATTGCTTCATATGGTACTGGCCCAGCCACTGCCTGGCTGAGTTCTGGGCACTGTTCTCAGGGATCATTCCCAGAGACAGTTTGGTTGCAGTCATTCCAGTTTTGGAGGGGATCTCTTATCTTATTCATGCCACAAACTGAAATATATTTTAGACACTGTTCTAACTTTCCAAGCATTTAGACCAAATAAAATATATTCTGTGTCGTTCTTTGTTTCCAGCTATGGTTGGGCTCCCACAAGGGAATCTGAGTAGCAGCACAAATTTGCCAGTGAGTGGCAGGTCTTGGTGCCTGCCCTAGGCCACTACCGTTTATAAACAAATTCAGACAGCAATTAAACATAACTAAACATACATATTCAAATAAGGAATATACTTCAAGGAAGAAAGTATTCCTGATTTGTTAAATCATGAAGACAGGTGGTTGTTAGTAGGCCAATACCACATGTTGTGTCTTCATTCATTTTTCCATTTTCACCACTCAGAATTTAATTGATTAAAGCACAAGTGAACTGCTGATGCACGTACTGGGCTTGACAGCTGTGCTTGTTCATGGCCCCAGAGGATTTCATGGCATAGTTACCACTAACCAGTCAGAAAAGGAGGAAGCTTTTTGTAATACTGTAAAATACTATTAGGGGTTCTGTTGAAAATTTGTCTCTAGCACTGGACTAAGAATAATTGAGCAGCCAGGCTGCCCCTGCTGACAGATATCTTTTAAGTCCTCAATGTTTCTTTAAACTGAAGGGCAACACCTTGAATCTGCCAGCCTAACATTCACAGGTTTTTCCAGTGGACTTCAACTGAAGTGTGACAGCTATGCTGGTTCTTGTAAGTCTGTTTTTGCAAAAATCTAGGATTTCAGCAATCCTAAAGGCAAACAGAAAATTTCTTCTTGCACAGAAATACCAAGTGCTGATCCTAAACTTGGGTTCTCACCACAAGCCATCTCCTCCCAGTATATCTGTCTCCCTGTCCCTGCGGTTGCCTTTTCTGTCTGGCAGATGTCTGGGAAGGATGTAGCAGTGGAAAATGGTTATGGAGCCTTCCTTCCTCCCCCAGCATAGCTCAGTAATCCCCACTGCATGCTGAGCACCATTTGTACCACTGATCATGCTGCTGAACCAGAAGCCAGGGCTTTGAACAGCATTCCTGCATGTATAACAGGGCTGAACAGCATTTCTGGCATGTGTTATGAGAAATTACATAATTCAAGATGTCAGCTGCATTAGCTGGTTTTTTAGCTTGTTTACCCAGATGGAGGGAGCTAGTGCACACAAATAAAATGGAGGTTTTATTCTCTTACTCCTCTGCTGGGGTGGCAGGGTAGCTCAGAACTGGGGTCTGACAAACCACATTAATAAAAGCTGAATATTGATAGTTTTGGCAGTGTAAAAACATTGATTGGCTGCAAAACAAAAGTAGATGGATTTCATAAGAAAAAGCCTACTTTTCGTTCACTATCCTGAATATGATAAAATGAAAATTAGAACAGCCTTCGCTTAACCTTCAACAGACGTTTGACATGTGTGCTTTTCTCCTCTGAGTATTATTAGGCATCTCTGCAGCGATATTTTTCCCATTTAAATCCTGTTTATGCTTCGACAAAAGTAAGCTCTAATTAACTGGTTTGTGTTGCTTAAAGATCCAGCAAATTGAAGATTCAAAGTTTCTAAACAATAAAAATGCATTTTTGCATCTGAATAAATAAATACAAATAGATAAATGTAAATGAAATAATAGAAGCCTTAGAATTCTGAAATAATATCTTTTAAGTTGCTTTTGGAAAGAAGTATATTTTACTCCAAGTTGGGGAAAAAATAAAAAGGGAAGTTCATATTCTGCCACTGCTGGTTTATAGAGCTGACAGAAGCAGGTCATAGACCCAAGCACAGCCATCTGATCTCCACCTCTGGCAGAGGGAGAGCACAACCAGCAGCATCCCCAGCCTCCCTCCAGGCTGGGCCACCTGTCTCACCTCTGCATAGTGCCAGGACATGGTTCAGGGACCAGCTCTGTTGGATGCAGCCACTCTCTCTGTAGGATAGGAAAGTTTGGCCAAAGGGTCAGGTAATGGGCCTGGCTTATTTCTGAGCATAGCTATAGCATAAAGGGGCTCAATTTTTTATGGACTTTTCAAAAATTAAATGCAGTGAAAAATCTAGATTACTCACTGAAGATAAAGGAATTTAAATTCTTTCTTTATGTTTCAAAAAACTAAATAGTATGTTGCACTACTTAGTCCAATAACAGCAAGCTGAAGCCAGGGTAATTTATTAGTATTATTAGGAAATTGCATTTGAGCAAATTATAATGCAATCAGACTTGCTATGGTGGAGACAGGACACATACCTGAATCTACTTCCTTTCAACTCTTTGTTTTCTTGGAATGGTACCAGAAGTCCTATTTAATGTGGAAATTATGTTGACTCCCCGTAGTCCTGGGGAAAAAAAAAAGTTGGTTTTTTTTTTTTAATTATTGTTCACTGTGATTATACAAAATTGTTCAGATGTCAGTTTTGGTATGCTAGAAGTGAAATGCAAGCCCTTCTATTCAGTCCATTGTCTTCTTCTGAGCTGTGATGCTACTGAAGATGAAGTTAAACTGTGTTGGAAGGCAGTAGTTTGTAGAAGGTATGTCATCTACTGCTAGGCATTTTCCCTTACATTAAATATCATTAATCAAATGAACAGTTTATGGAATGGATAGCTGAAATAAAGGGAGTGTCCCTCCCTATCCTAAATAAGTTTTGTGCAATCCTAGAAGAGAGATTGGCCCACATGATTTGTAGGAGTATCCTTCTAACCTAGTAAATGTCATTTTTCTGTATTTATGACAAAACCAAGCAAAGCTGAGATGGAAGCATCAGAGACACTGGGATCCAGAAAGCAAAGTTGAAAATAAAACAAGAATTTGTACTCTGGAATAGGAGAGTAATTCTGAAAAACTGAATATAATACAGTTATTTGATGCTTTTCATTTTCAGGAAAAAAGTACTTAATGTACTGATTATGTAAATGAACAGAATAACACTGTAAAAATAGCAAATTCCATTTTCAGTATCTCCTTTTTGAAGTGTTATGAAAGACTCTGAAAACCATCTCACCATTTAGTCAAAAGTGATAACAATAGCATTTAGCCCAAAGTAAATACACTCTATTTGAAGATCATAGTGGTATCACTCACAGAAATGAAGAGTCATGCTGTGCTGAAGTTTTCCATTATGCTCTGAAGTGACTCACAGGAAACTATGAAAATTAAATAGGTTAAGCTGCAGTAAAATAAATTCAGTGACAGCGATGTGTACTTTTGTTTTGTAAACTTCTAATGGCAGACTTTTCTGTTTCTGGTAGTGCAGACACTTTAAGCTGATGGGTGGGCAGACAGAAGGACATGTGAGCACAGAGGTAGTACAAAAGTGTAGTGTTTCAATGAGGAAGGGAATCTGCCATAGTACAAATTATTTGGCAAACTACAACAGTACAATAGCAGTGATAATTCAAGTTGTCTTGACAACCGAAGATCAAGTTTTTCTCTTAATACTCTGCCAGATTTTGGCCACTGTATGGAATGAGTATCTTAAATTATGAATCACACTCACACAGAGAGAGCACTTATGCCTCCCTCAGATGTTTAACATCTTTGTTTTGTGGGTTGTTTACAGCCATAGCACACCTGAAGAGCATGATGCATGTCCATATTTCAGCCACTCTTACTCACAGCCTGGTGAGTCAGCACTCAGCACAAAACACTTCATTCAGTATTGTAAGTTAATATGTCTAAAACCTGAAATGGCTGACGTGTTTTCTGGGCTTATAGTAAACCAGAACAAAAGAATGATCTTTCACTGCTCTCCCTCTTTTCAGAGTGAGAGATTGCATCTATTCACAGACACACCAACTTAATGCTTATCTGGACTGTTATCCAAGGCATGTCCACCTTCTGTTCTGCAGACTTTATTCTGGCAACAAAAATGTTGCCAAAGCACACAGCAAGGGGATT